TCAGATAGAGGGTTTTTTCTTTTTCTTGAAATATCATGAGCATTTTAGATAACTTTTGTTTGAAACATTATTTGTAATGGTTGCTTAGGAGTCTTCAACATGAGTACCCTACGGTACATGTCATAATTCTACCATTTTTGCCAACGTTAGCAGCTTTCCTTGCCTTAAGTTTTACAAATCATGTTGTGCTCAACATCACTGTATATAATATTTTTACTTGTCTTTGATTATTTCCTAGAGATGAAGTCTTAGAAGTGAAATGACTGGGTCAAGAGATAAAAGGAGATTTATTTTATTTTATTTCATTTCATTTCATTTTTTGAGACAGAGTCTTGTTCTGTCACCTAGGCTGGAGTACAGTGGCATGATCTCAACTCACTGCAACCTCCATCTCCCAGGTGCAAGCGATTCTCTTGCCTCAGCCTCCAGAATAGCTGGGACTATGGGTGCATGCCACCACACCTGGCTAATTTTTGTTTTTAGTAGAGACAAAGTTTCACTGTGTTGGCCAGGCTGATCTGGAACTCCTGACCTCAGGTGATCTGCCCACCTTGGCCTCCCAAAGTGCTGGGCATGAGCCACCATACCCAGCCAGCAAAAAACATCTAAAATGCCTTTCCTATGTTTTTGAACTGCCTGACCAAGAGGTACCTTAAATTTATGCACCTGTGCGCAATAAGAGTATCTTTTAATTCTGAAAAAGGAGAAAAAGAACTTAAACTATTTTAAAAGGTAAACAATGCATCTCATTGTTCTTTCTTAGCATTGCTTTGGTTAGTAGGAAGGCTATGTCTGCTTTTCCCTCTTGGCCAGATGATGTTCTCTGTGAATAATGTTCCAAGTCTTTTTTTTTGCCCCCTGTTAGGATGCATTTATTTCTTATCCATTTAAATAAACTCTTTACCAGAAATATTATTCCTTTAGTTACAATATTTATGGCAAAGATTTCCCCATATTCTTTAAATTTTGCTTATTATCACTTTTGGTACATGCAAGTTTGCATTTTCACATGGCAAAATGTTGGTTTTGCTGGTGGAGAATTCCTTCATGGCTTGTATGTATTAAAAGAGCATCTTCATACTCACCTGAATGTTCCACCTAGATTTTTTTTTTTTTTTTTTTTTTTTTTTTGAGATGGAATCTCGCTCTGTCACCCAGGCTGGAATGCGGTGGCGAGATCTCAACTCACTGCAACCTAGGCTTCCCGGGTTGAAGGAATTCTCCTGCCTCAGCCTCCGTTGTAGCTGGGATTACAGGCGAGCTCCACCACTCCAAGCTAATTTTTGTATTTTTAATAGAGACCGGGGTTTCACCATGTTGGTCAGGCTGGTCTCGAACTCCTGTACTTGTGATCCGCCCTCCTCGGCCTCCCAAAGTGCTGGGATTACAGCAGTGAGCCACCCAGGTGATGACTTCTCATTTCTTCCTTGGTTTTTTTCCGGAGCCACTTTGAGAAATTCGGTTCCATCTGCGGTGGTAAAATACAGGTCGGTTCCCCCCGCGCGCGGCCAATGGACGCTCCCAGTGCGGACAGACCGGCCCTTTGCGGGCGTGGGGCGGGGCGAAGGGGCCCCAGGGCGGGGCTTCGCCCGAGCCCGGCCCCTCCCACCGCCGCGGCCACTTGTGCGCCCGGAGCCGGCTACTTCTGGACCCTCCCGCGTGCCGTTCTTACCCGGCCTGCCCCGCGCCGCTGCTTCCGGAAGTGGACCTCGTCTCCTCCCAAGTAGAGCGTTTGTGCCTGAACTTGGCGGGTTTGCTACGGCACCGAAGGGCTGCAGAAGCCCGGGGGTCAGGGGCGGGCTGGTTGCCGCAATGGCTGGGAGTCAGGACATGTTCGACGCCATCGTGATGGCAGATGAGAGGTGGGTGGCGAGATCGGGCCGGCACCCCGCCGTGTCTGGTTCTCCCCCAGCGGATTCGCCGCCCGCTGTGGTGCAGGGCGGCTGCTGGAGCCTGGGGTCCCGCGGGCGTGCGCACTGGGGGAGCGTCTGGTGGCCGTGGACGCTGGGACAAGTGTGGGCCGAGATGCTCCGGCCCTCCTCCTCTCCTCGCCAGCTCCGGCGGGGCACGTGCCCAGCTGCTCTTCCAGACCCGCCTCCCCTGTCGGGGCTGCCCTGAGCATCTGCTCGGTCTGTGGTTGCCCTCCTCCGGGGCCGCCCCGTCCTCTGGGAGGACAGACCTTTGCCATCTGGAAACTGCCTCTTTTCCTTGTTCTTCGATCGTAGGACATACGGCAGTATTCATGAATGTGCTGATAGATGTGACCGACCCCACCCCTTTCCCTCCAGAGCCCCTGGGGAGCCCCTGGTGCTGCGACAGTGGCGGAGCTGTGAGGTGCCTCCTGGCTGACTTCCAGTGCCCGGCCCACAGAACACACCCATAAATGTTAGTTCAGAAAGCGACGGAACATTTAGCAGTCAGTCGCTGACGTTTATTTAGCTCGCGCTGTGAGTCAGACACTAGCTAAACATTCCACCCTAGTTATCCGTTTCAGCCCTACTTGGTAAATGGATCCCATTATTCTTCGGAATTTACAGAGGAGGAGGCACCGTCACTTTCCAGGGTCACACAACTAATACGTGGGGAGCTGTGCACTCTGCTTCATGGGGTGCTGCAGCCCACCCCTTGCATCTTTGGTGACTGCAGGTTAAGATAGTGCTCGTCCCACTGTTGGTCCTCAGGGTTGGTCGTAGTCCATTTGTGGTGATTGGGTGGCGTTTCTCGCTGTTGTCCACTGATGTGATGTGAAACCCTGTGAATGTTGCAGGTTTTTGGAAGTGGTTGACCTGGGCTAGTGATACGTGTCCACTCACAAAACTTTGGCTCCCTCACTCTGGCTGTAAACCAGACTCAGGAGACTGAAAAGTAGATTCGCGGCCAGGTGCAGTGGCTCACACCTGTAATCCCAAGACTTTGAGACCTCAGAGCTGGAGGATTGCTTGAGCCCAGGAGTTTGAGGCTATAGTGAGCTGTGATCCTACCACTGCACGCTTGGCAGGGCAACAGAGACCCTGTCTCCAGACTTACTGAGTCTCTGGGGGTGAGGCTTTTGAGTTAATATCTCTGAATTTTCCTTGTGTGTTTCTAGTACTCTATCAGGTTTGGGATTCACTAATTTAGCCCTTTGTTGTAGAGGAAGAAACTGAGCTACAGGAGGTACAGTGACTTGCGAGAGACTCAGGAAGGGATAGAGCTGGCTCTGGAATCTGTCTTCTGACTTGAATTTTAGGCTTTTCCTACTTTACTCTGACTTGTCATACTGGATCTGGGTAATAGATAGAAAAAAGTTTTTCTGGAATAAGTATTCTTTCTCCTGTTGATTTGATGAAGCATGCTTCTCCTTCGCAGGTTTCATGGGGAAGGGTATCGGGAAGGCTATGAAGAAGGCAGCAGTTTGGGTGTGATGGAGGGAAGGCAGCATGGCACGCTGCATGGAGCCAAAATCGGGTCTGAGGTAAGTGGGAACCCCCTTTTGGAGATGAAGCCTCTTGATTTACAGTTTATAATTTATTTCGATACTCAGTGTGATGGAGTAAGAATGTCGGGCCTTTTAAAATCATAGTGCCTGACTCATGCCTGTAATCCCAGCACTTTGGGAGGCTGAGGTGGGTGGATCACCTTGAGGTCAGGAGTTTGAGACCAGCCTGACCAACATGGTGAAACTCCGTCTCTACTAAATATACAAAATTAGCTGGGTGTGGTGGCTCATGCCTGTAATCCCAGGAAACTTGGGAGGCTGAGGTATGAGAATTGCTTGAACCCGGGAGGCAGAGGTTGCAGTGAGCCAAGATTGTGCCATTGCACTGCAGCCAGGGTGACAAGAGTGAAACTCCATCTCAAAAAAAAAAAAAAATCCCAGCGCGTTTGTGTGGAAGTTAATTGACTACATGTTCTGTTGGTGGAGTATTCTTAGTACAGAACCAAGAACGCATTTTGCTTTGTAGACATAATTAAATTATGCAGGCTGGATAAGAGAAAACAAATCCCTGGTCTCCTTAGTTTACTTGGGAGTGTCATGGTGCTGGCTCATACACTAAGCCAGCTGAATCACTGTCCAAAGAATGGGTGCCCTCTGTCATGTGAAAATACTCCATTCATGTTCACGTTGAAATTTCATTAACTTCATGATATTTTTTTCTTTTCCTGTCTTTGTCCTAGATTGGACCTTACTTACAGATAAGTGGTCCTGACTGGCAAAGTCTGAGTTGAGGCAGTTATGAGTATATTGGATGTTTGAGGCTTCAAAACAGATCACCACGAAATGCGTGGGCTTAACACAGCAAATATTGATGATCTCACATTGTTTCTGCGGGCTGGGAACTCAGGAGCAGCGTTGCTGGGTGGTGCTGTCTCAGGGTGTCAGCCAGAGCCGCGTCACCTGAAGGCTGGACTAGGGTTGGAGGATCTGCCTCCAAGGTGGTGCTGTCACCTGACTGTGGGCACAGACGTCTCCGTAGGGATGCTTGTGTGTCCTCGTGATGTTCAAGAGCGAGTGATCAGAGAGAGCTGGTGAGGCAGGTGACAGTGGCTTTTATCCCTGGACTCTCCACATTCTGCTGGTTACGAAAGCCACCCTGGTAGAGTGTCGAGGGACCTGCACAGGGCATGGGTACCAGGAGGTGAGGACTGGGGCGTCCGGGAGGCTGGCTGCCCCACTGATGACCTCATCTCCTAATTTCCATTGCCCAGTGCTCAACAGGTACTTCCAGAACAATAATGTCAGAAGCACCGCTGCCCTCTGCTCCCACCTTTTGTTTCGAGATCTTAGTAATTAAAGTGTGCTTAGTTGCTTATTAATTTCACTCTTAAATGTTTTTCAAATTCACAGATCGGGTGCTACCAAGGTTTTGCTTTTGCGTGGAAATGTCTGCTGCACAGTTGCACTGCTGAGAAAGACAGGTAAAGCTGGAGATGTCTTCCTTTTTCAGCGTAGAAACCAGGAGTTCTGATTTCATAGGCTACCACATGACCTTGAATAATCAATCCCTCTGTTCCTCATCTGTAAAATGGAGAAAATAATACATGTCAAGCTTGAGTGTTGTTAGGACTGTTGTTAGGAGTGTTGTTAGGAGGTTGTTAGGAGTGTTATGAGTGTTGTTAGGAGGTGGTTAGGAGGTTGTTAGGTTGTTTGGAGTGTTAGGAGTGTTGTTAGGAGGTTGTTAGGAGTGTTAGGATTGTTGTTAGGAGGTTGTTAGAAGTGTTAGGAGGTTGTTAGGAGTGTTGTTAGGAGTGTTGTTAGGAGTGTTAGGATTGTTAGGAGGTTGTTAGAAGTGTTAGGAGGTTGTTAGGAGTGTTGTTAGGAGGTTGTTAGGAGTGTTAGGATTGTTGTTAGGAGGTTGTTAGAAGTGTTAGGAGGTTGTTAGGAGTGTTGTTAGGAAGTTGTTAGGAGTGTTAGGATTGTTGTTAGGAGGTTGTTAGAAGTGTTAGGAGGTTGTTAGGAGTGTTGTTAGGAGTGTTGTTAGGAGTGTTAGGATTGTTGTTAGGAGGTTGTTAGGAGTGTTGTTGGGAGTGTTGTTAGGACTGTTGTTAGGAGGTTGTTAGAAGTGTTAGGAGGTTGTTAGGAGTGTTGTTGGGAGTGTTGTTAGGACTGTTGTTAGGAGGTTGTTAGGAGTGTTAGGAGTGTTGTTGGGAGTGTTGTTAGGAGTGTTGTTAGGAGTGTTTTCAGGAGGTTGTTAGGAGTGTTGTTAGGAGTGTTGTTAGGAGGTTGTTAGGAGTGTTGTTAGGAGGTTGTTAGGAGTGTTGTTTGGAGGTTATTAGGAGGTTGTTTGTTAGGAGTGTTTTCAGGAGGTTGTTAGGAGGTTGTTAGTGTTTTCAGGAGGTTGTTAGGAGTGTTGTTAGGAGGTTGTTAGGAGTGTTGTTTGGAGGTTATTAGGAGGTTGGTTGTTAGGAGTGTTTTCAGGAGGTTGTTAGGAGGTTGTTAGGAGTGTTGTTAGGAAATACCAAATAGGAAGTGCCAGGCACGTTTGGGGTGTTTGAGGAACGCCGGCAGTGTCGCTTCTCAAGAGGTCTGTGCTCCTGCCTTTTACCTGGAGTCATTCGTGCACCAGGTGGCTTTTAGGTACCCTGCCAATAAAATAAGGTTGACATTGATTGTATTTTCCCATTTGTCTTTCCCCAGAGCTTCTGATAAACAGATTACAACAGTTTTGGTGTGACAGGCTCAGAAATGATCATGCCATTGTCACCAGTTTCCTTTTAACACAGCCAACTAAGTCTGTTAACAAGAAAACGCGTTTACATGTGTTTAACTCCTTTCTGGGACTTGTCAGCACTCAGTAAGCGTTAGCTGTCATTCGAACTGTTTTCTGCCTTTCAGAACTTTTCTTGCATTCTGCTTACTGAAGCCCCACGTGACCCTCTTTATCTGTCTTCATTCTGAAGCTGGAAGTGAACGTTAAGTAAAAGGCAGAGATGGTTTGGACACTCTGTCGCTCATGGGCAGCAGCAGACACAGGGCCCGTGCTGGTGCTCCGCATCAGTCATTCTGACGCCTGGTGGGAGGGGCACAGGGAGAGTGGGTAACACTCGCCCTCACCATGTGACTTGCGCTTTTATTTGAAATAGCTTGAATTTCTAGAAATACCTTGAGTATCTTGAATATTCAAATGCTTAAGAATGAGGATGCTTGCAAGTGGTACGAATGGTTCTTTCTGCTCTGTTTGTACGAGCAGTTGGGGGTTGGTGGGATTCTGGGTTAGCAGAGGGGCACTGGAAGGCATTTTCTGCTTGGTTCTCAGGGAGCGGCAGGCAGCGAGGGCCCCCACGGGAATCGTTGTTGGCAGCCTGGGCTGCCACTGGGTGGCAGTCAAAGCTGGGCTTGGCTCTCAACTCAGGCGACGAGAGGCGGTGTGTTCTTGGAGTTCTCCACCCGTCTCCTTCTCCCACAACGTCAGAATCTGCCTGCTCCTGGAGAAGTGCTTGGCTTTGTGTCCACAGTCCCATGCCAGGAGGTCGCCAGCCCTTACCCCAGAACAGGGTTTGCTGACCTCTTAAAGCAGCACACTCAGCTTAGCTAACAGAGAAGAGGCGCTTTGGTTGACGAAGGGCTGGTGGAAGCCCTGCCAAGCCCCACAAGGGCCGCCCTCACCCCTCCGCAGTACCCAGTGGTCTCTTTGGAACCTAAGCCTTTATGTAGGCAGTGGTTCGTGGATATTTAGATCTTACATGTTAGTATTTTTTTTTTTTTTTTTTTTTTTTTTGAGACACAGTCCATGATCTTGGCTCACTGCAGCCTCTGCCTCCCAGGTTCAAGCGATTCTCCTGCCTCAGCCTCCTGAGTAGCTGGGATTACAGGCACCTGCAACCACGCCTGGCTAATTTTTGTATTTTTAGTAGAGCCGGGCTTTCACCATATTGGCCAGGCTGGTCTCAAACTCCTGACCTCGTGATCTGCCTGCCTTGGACTCCCAAAGTGCTGGGATTACAAGCGTGACCCACCACACCCGGCCAGTATTGTTTTTTTTTTTTAGTGGTGAAGGGCTGATATTGCATCTTCTATCTGTAAGTTTTTCCACATAAGGATGTTAAGAGAAAAACGCCTGCCCCTCTGCACTGTCATTCAGCAAAATGCTGGGCATTTTAACATCAGAGAAACCTTGGAGAGCGGCATCTCAGGCCAAAACATGGTGCTTTCCATGGAGTAACTAGCTTCTGGTGAAACCGTTCTGCAGAACGGCACACTCCAGGGCCGAGCATGGGGGCTCCAGCGCCATCACTGCTGTTTCGTTGGCCCTGAGCTGCTCACACCTGCCTGATGTGCCGCCTCTGATGATGCGCCTGGCTCGGTGTGTCTGAGCAGCAGCACTGACCAAAGAAGTCCCTGCTTGCCCAGTGGAAAGGGGGTGGTCCTCCATCGGGTCGGCATCCAGCCACCTCCCATGTTTTGGCATCTCCCTTTCGTCTCCCTGGAAACCAGGTGCTTTGTTACTAAAATTGACTTGCTTTGACCTTTCACAGTTTTGTGTTTTCTCAGAGAGGTAGCCATCGTTAGCTCTTGTGAACTGGTGTGCTGCTGGCAAACTTACCCTTCTGTGTGTCCAGAAGCACCGGCCGTTCACATGGACACAGGAGGTCTCGGTTACTTTGAATTGCTGTTGATTCATCCTAACCATCAGTTCTTTAAAATTCCCGTTAATCGGCCGGGTGCTGTGGCTCACACATGTAATTCCAGCACTCTGAGAGGCCACGGCGGGTGGATCACTTGAGATCAGGAGTTCAAAACCGGCCTGGCCAACATGGTGAATCCCTGTCTCTACTAAAAATACAAAACAATTAGCTGGGCATGGTGGCGCACGCCTGTAATCCCAGCTACTCGGGAGGCTGTGGCAGGAGAACTGCTTGAACTCCAGGTACACTGGAGTGCAGTGATCTGAGATCACACCACTGCACTCCAGCCTGGGCAACAGAGGGAAACTCCATCTCAAAAAAAAAAAAAAAAAAAAATTCCCATTAATTGAGTATCTTGCATACTCTGGCCACTCACGTGGTCCAGTGTGGCATAGGGGCAGCATGCTTCTCAGGACCGCCCGTGGTTCATCGACCAGACCTGGCCCCACCAGATGTGCACGTGTGTGGACTGTTTTTAAACTCCCACAGATGAGAGCCCTGATCTCCAGGATCTGGTGGAAACCAAGAGACTAACATTTATTGAGCACCTACTCTGTGCTAGGGTCCAGGCTTCATGTCAGTTAATTATTTATTTATTTATTTATTTTGAGACAGAGTCTCACTTTGTCGCCCAGGCTGGGGCACAGTGGCAGAATCCGAACTCACTGCAGCCTCCGCCTCCCAGGTTCAAGCGATTCTCCTGTCTCAGCCTCCCGAGTAGCTGGGACTACAGGGACCCACCATCACACCTGGCTCAATTTTGTATTTTTAGTAGAGACGAGATTTCACCATAGTGGTCAGACTGGTCTTGAACTCCTGACCTCAGGTGATTCACCCACCTTGGCCTCCCAAAGTGCTGGGATTATAGGCGTGAGCCACTGTGCCAGGTCCATGTCAATTATTTAATCCTCTTGAAAGCCTATGACATTGCTGTTACTCTCCCCATTAAAAAAAAAAATAACAGAAATGAATTTCTCACGGTCTAGAGGCTGGGATGCTCCCCATTTTACAGACGAGGCCAGAAGGATTGAGAGCAAGAAGATAGGTGCTGGGGAGCAGTCATGCCCAGGGCTGCTGTCTCCTGGGCACACACCCTTTCTGCAGAACCCCCTTGCCTCCCCAGCAAAGCTCTGTCCTCCCTGGGGAGGGGAGGTGCCGATTTCCGCCCTTCAGAGGGAGGGGTTTGCTGGTTTACCTGAAGCTGACCTCCAGAAGGCTTTGCACACAGATTCCAGATCCTGGAAAACCCCCAGACGGAGAGCAGGCCTGCTTGTGCCCTGCCCCAGTCGCTCTTGTCCAGTTCTGTCTGTTCCTGCTTGTGTGACCTCGAGAGTCAGCAGGGCCTCCTGTGGCCTCAGCCATGCAGCCCCGTGGCCGGGATGGAGGCATGTCTGTAAGCTAGGCACATGCTTGCTGTTGAGGTGCTGGGTGTGGGCATAAGCACGTTGCTAGGTAAATAAATACGATTTTGTGTAACGAGAAAATCAGCTTTGGAATGACATTCTTAGTGCACCTGCTGGGTTTCAGTAAGCGAGCGACATAGCTGTTGTGTAAGTGGAGCCTGTTGTGTGCACATGACTGAGAGAATCTGTATTTCTGTGCTTTACAGCAGAAAGATGAAAGTCTTAGAATCATTGATTGGGATGATCCAGAAATTCCCTTATGATGACCCTACTTACGATAAACTCCATGAAGACTTAGACAAAATCAGAGGGAAATTTAAACAGGTGCGTGCGCTGTGGTTTCCTCCTGCTGGGAGCGCCTGATTGTGCCTTTCCCGGGTGGGGCGTTGCACTCCCGTGGCCGCTGCAGCGATGGCATGGGGCTGCGTGCCCCGTGGAACCGTCCGCAGAGGCGCCTCATCCTTGAGTCGCAATGCAGGAAAACTGAAGACGGTCCAGAGAGCAGGAGTTAGAACTCACTCATGGGTCGGCGACATAGACAGGAAAAGCTATAGCTAGAAATAGAGTTGTCTTCTCATTTTTCAGTAAAAATGCACAAGATTAAAAATACCATCTCTTCTCTTTCGTGTTTTTAGTTTTGTTCATTACTCAACGTTCAGCCAGACTTTAAAATTAGTGCAAAAGGTTCCGGACTTTCATTTTGAGGACGATGGATGAACAAAGACCAGACATCGAGGACCAGCTGACTGTGTGTGGAGTGCTTAGCAGCGCGGTGAAGGGCCAGGCGGTGCTGGGAGGGGATTGCTGAGTGGGGAGGACGAGGGTTCCTGTCGGCCGTGGGAGAGGCGCCTTTCCCGGGGTTTTCAGCCCATGTCAGCTTGGTGCCCGCCTCGGGGCTTCCACACACGCCCTTCGCTGGGCTGAAGCCGTCCCTGGCAGAGCCGCTGCTGGCTGCTCCTGCTGGCCCGTGTGCGTTGGCGTGGTGGCCGCTCCGGCAGCACAGGCTTGGCTGCTTCTGGGCTGGCTCTGGTTAGGGTCACTCCCCAGGCCTGGACTTGAGGCGGTTTTTTTTTTTTTTTTTTTTTCAGTGAGAGAGGCGGTTGCCCTTAACTAGGCTCATGGGAGGTTTTGACGGGTGCTGTGCTGCCTGTTGAGGCCGTGTGCGCCTGGCGCTTCGGGACATGCATCCTGTGTTTTATTTAATCCCTTCCGGAGCCCGCAAGATGGCTGTTATTCCCATTTTGCAGAAGAGAAAACTGAGACGTGAAGGGATTGCCTGGCCTGAGGATACCTGGCAGCGGAGCTGGGACTTCCGTCCCGAGGCCCATGCCTCTCGCCGCCACCAGGAGCAGCCTCCTCTGGAATGCACAGGCCGCCACCTACAGTGCTGGAGGTCCCTGCCCTCCCTCCCAGGCTGCACAGGTCCTGCCGAGCCTCGTGGAGCACGGGGGAGTCCGTGGTGGCCAGGTTGCCTGGGCATCTGGCTGAGAGGAAGAGAGGCCAGCCCAATCCCGAGGGGACCCGGACATATCCTTCACACTGTCCCCAGAGGGGCAATGAACTTTACAGCATTGGAAAGTGGTGAAGGGGGAAATATGTTGAACCAAAGACCAAATGTTAGGCCATCACAATATTTGCAGAAACTTTGAGAACGTGTGTGCAGCCTCCTGCGTTCTCCCCGCTGCTGGGAGCTCTTCTCTCTTTCAGTCCTTACGAGGCGTCATACAGAGGCAGTGAGGTGGGCACAGATGAGTGGAGTGCATGGTTCCGTGGGTCCCCATGAGCTAAGTGGTCCTGTGCAATGGCATGTGTTCACACACCCTCCTGCGTGTACTCCAGGGTCAACAAAGTCCCCACATGCCGGCTCTCCCCACCTCTCCTGCTCCAGGAAGCATGTCTGAAAGTAGTCCGTGAGATTGCTAAGGAGTCGTCAGGAATCCACTTTGGTTTTAGAACCACTCTAAATGTCCTATGGATTGTGCAGCTGCTGGCTGCGGGAGCCAGAGCAGGGGCTCCCACGGGAGCAGCGGCAGGCAGAGAGAGAGGGTGGCTTTGAGATGGAATCTCACTGCGTCGCCCAGGCTAGAGTGCAGTGGCACGATCTCGGCTCTCTGCAACCTCCACCTCCCGGGTTCAAGCGATTCTCCTGCCTCCGCTTCCCGGGTAGCTGGGATTACAGGCGCCTGCCACCATGCCCGGCTAACTTTTGTATTTTAAGTAAAGACGGGGTTTAGCCATGTTGGCCAGGCTGGTCTGTAACTCCTAGCCTGAAATGATCCATCTGCCTCAACCTACCAAAGTGCTGGAACTGCAGGCCTGAGCCCCCGGGCCCTGCCTGCTGTTTTGTTTTTGAAGATAAGACTTAGGTCTCCTCCCCCCGAACTCTAAACCCGCGTGTGTGGCTGTGCACCCCTCGTTTGCAGCCTCGCTTCGCGTCTGGGGAAGTCTGAGTTGGGCTTTGCCTCATGCCTTCATCTGAGCTGCCACCTTCCGGCCAGAAAGACTCCCATTCTTTCTAGGTGGTGGGACCAGGGGGCCTCTGTTGTGTGTTTCTTGGTGGATTTTTGCGTCTTGTAAGTTTTCTGTTTTGATAATGTGTTATTTTTATAATTGGAAAAATAAATAAATAGTATATTTTAAAGTGAAAGTTTCTCTGGGACCATTTATAACACAACATCCGGCCAGTTTACTTCCTCCTCCAAGGTATTTAGGATCTGGGTACGATGGAAGACATGCCGTAGATTTCCACCAGCTCGTCTCCTTAACCCAGCGTAGGCATGGCCACTGCCAGAGTGGTCCCATTGTGTGGGGACTGGTCAGCTCCTGCTCAGCCACCTGGCAGCAGCTGTTACTAACCCACCCCCCCCGAGACATCTCCATCCCCATCCTCCACCTTCTCTCCCCTCCTCTCCTTTTTCTTTCTTCTCCCCTTGGTCTCCTATTCTCTCTCCCCCGCCCTCTGAGCCTCACCCTCCTCCCTCTCAGCCTCTCCCTTCTCCCTCTCTGCCTCTCCCTCCTCCCTCTCTGCTTCTCCCTCCTCCCTCTCTGCCTCTCCATCCTCCCTCTCTGCCTCTCCCTCCTCCCTCAGCCCCTCCCATCTCCCTCTCAGCCTCTCCCTCCTCCCTCTCAGCCTCTCCCTCCTCCCTCTCTGCCTCTCCCGCCTCCCTCTCAGCCTCTCCCTCCACCCTCAGCCTCTCCCATCTCCCTCTCTGCCTCTCCCGCCTCCCTCAGCCTCTCCCATCTCCCTCTCTGCCTCTCCCTCCTCCTCTCTGCCTCTCCCACCTCCCTCTCAGCCTCTCCCTCCTCCCTCAGCCTCTCCCATCTCCCTCTCTGCCTCTCCCTCCTCCCTCTCTGCCTCTCCCTTCTCTCTCTCTGCCTCTCCCCCAGCAGTTGGCTGAGTAGCTGGCTGCCACTTCCTCCTCTGCTTTGCGTCACGTGGAGGCAGGGCTGCCTCATCGTCTTCAGGATTCTCAAACACTCTCCTGACCTGTGCCTGCCTTTCCCCTTTCTAGAGGACGACACCCCATTTCCAGGATCCCTTGGTCACCCCCAACGTTGCAGACAGAGCCTGCAGTAACGGGCACTTCCATCCTGTCCAGGCGGCACCATCTTCAGCAGTCGCACCAGGAATGAGCAGTTCTGTGTCTCATCTTCCGCTAATGAGGTGATGGTAGAGGGCCCGACCAGTCCCCAACACGGTGGGTTGTGTCTGTGCTGGGTTAAGGCGATGAGTTGGCAGGAGGTCCTGCAGGGGCTTCTGGGAAAGTGATGTCATGCCAAAGAAAAGGTGCTGGTGCTATTTTGGACACCATCCCATTGGGCTGTGACAGCCGGAACTGCTGCAGGCATCTTGCAAGCTGGCGACCGCTGCAGCCACCCCTGAGCCTGGCAGAGCAAAGAGCTGGGAAGAACCTGCGTCCTCGGTGCCGGTGGTGCCTTCCCACCAGCCTCGAGCCGCCTCAGTTGCCCCTGTCAGCGCTGCATGTCCCCGTCCTTGGATGCCGTTGCCCCGGGTTTGTGCTGTTTGCGGACAAAGTCTGCTGGCTGTCTTCCCCATCCCTGTTGGTCCCATCCCGCCCACTAGTTCTGGGTGTCAGCCTCTGTCCAGCGTGGCCTGGAGTTTGGGAGCCCGTGGGGCTGGACTCATCCTTTCTGGTTGCTTTCGCAAGGCTTCGGCCTGCTCCTCCCTTCCCATCAGGAGCTCCAGCGTGCTTCCTGCCACGGTCTCAGCTTGGGCTGCCGTAACAGCACCGCTGGGGTGGCTTCAGCGCAGTCCACCTCAGTTCTGGAGGCTGGAGTCCGATACCAAGGCGTCACGGCCGCCGCCTCCCGACGCCTCTCTCTGTGCCTTGCAGGCTGCTGCCTTCAGGACCCGTGTCCTCACATGGTCGTTCCTCTGTGTCCTCATATCTACGAGGACCCCAGTCAGACTGCATTCGGGCCAACCCTTACGGCCTCATTTGGACTAAGTTACCTGTCAAAAACCTCACTCTCAAACACGGTCACATTCGGAGGTGCTGGGGGTTGAGGCTTCCACACGAGGTTTGTGGGGACACAGTTCAGCCCCTGCCAGGACCCCAGCTGTGCTGCTGGATACATTGTTAAATTGGGACTTGGGAGAAAAGAAAGCCATTTCGTGTAAAAGTTGAAGTTACTTCAATTAGTTTTTCTAGAATGTTAACCTCGAGGCGCCAGTGAGAGTAGTCAGCCCTCTGCCGCGGTCCCCACCTCAGAGTCACCTGTCAGAGTCACTGGGTGGCAAAGGGAACTGCCCAGGGACCACGCTGCTGTCTTAAATCACGGCCACATTTCGCTTGATTTTACATTCACCCCTTGGAATGCTTTCTCTGACCAGCGGCAAGAAAAGAATGAGGAGATACAGAAGAAGGAACGAGGCCTGTTTGCTGAGTGGCTGCCGGCTGCCCACCCTTTCCCTGAATGACCCACCAGAGCTGGAGGCGGGGTTACAGCCCTCACTTTGCGGAGACAGGCGGCCTGGCTGAGGACAAGTCCGGTGGTCGCAGTAAGTGGCCGACTTCAGGCTTGCGGGGTGCAGCAGGGCTGCGGAGGCTGCTCCAGTTACTCGCCTCCTGACCCGTTATTTTACATATGTCTTCTTCACGGAAGCAGAGCCTTGTTTTTCTGAGAATCTTGCAGCCTGTCTTTGGGACCAGTCCCCGGCCTTGTTGACATGGGGGACTGGTTTTGTGAAGGACAGTTTTTCCATGGCTGGGGCTTGGGAGTGGGGTTGCTTTGGGATGAAGCTGTTCCACCTCGGGTCATCAGGCAGTAGATGCTCATAAGGAGCGTGCAGCCTCGATCCCTCACGTGAGCAGTTCGCAACAGTGTTCACGCCCCCGTGAGAATCTAATGCGGCTGCTGATCTAACAGGAGGGGGAGCTCAGATGGTCATGTTCACTGGGCTGCTGCTCACCTCCTGCTGTGTGGCCGTTCCTAACAGGTCATAGACTGCTGCCGGCCCCCGGCCTGGGGATGGGGGACCGGTGATCTAGCAGACTGAGGCCAGATTGAGGCAAAAATGAATTTACGGAAGACCCACGCTGGCTGCCTGGAGGAGAGGCAGTGACTGAATGAGTCCTTAGCTGCCCCAGACCCTGTGAGCAGGTCTCACCTAGGGACACCCGTGGTACTTTGGGAGCCCAGGGGAGGGGAGGGAATGAGAAGGTGGGCAAAGGAGGAGGCAGCCTTCATACTGAATTTGCGAGCGTTCATCTGGCCTCACACCACCACAGAGGAGTCTCTTCCACTCTACCTGAAAACACCAGTGTCATCTGGAGGTACCCAAAAGTGTAATTAACACACACGTTTCTCCAAATTTGCACAGTTATTCTGATCCTGAATGGATCAAATGAGGAACTGGATTGTGACTCAGGAAAGTGAAGTCACAGAACTCTTAAGAGCTGAGAAAAATGGGTCACTGTGTTAGGTGCTTCCCAGGACACGGGGCCTGCAGGCGAGGAGCCAGGCCCCGAGCATTCAGCGAGCTGTCCAAGCCGACGTGACTAAGGAGTTCAGCGGGGACCTCTCAGATTAACTCCAAGAAGGAAAGTTGCTCCTTGCTCCTAAACTTTTCCATAGCTCTCTGGCTGGCACACTCAGCCAGCATCGAGCCCTTGCCCCGTCTGCCCCTTGGTGACCCCATCAGGACAGTGCCGTGGCTGTGTCTCCCTGGCACTCTTTACCGGAGCGGCGGGGCCTTGGATTGCAGGGATGGCAGCCTCTATTCCGGGCGATGCCTGGACACGGAGAGTACGTGATAGGCGCTGAGGGAGAGGCTCACAGACTGATGTCCTTCGGCTGGCTCCAGTGACCATGTGCCCCTGGAATTCGAGGGGACCGTGGAGCCTGCTTCCAGGCTTTGAGAGCTCAGGTCTGTTGCAAATTGAATTGTACCCACAAAGAGAAACGTTGAAGTCCCAGCCTCTGCTACCTGTGACTTTATTTGGAAATAAGAAATAGAGTCTTTGTAGATTTTATTAAGACGTAAGTTGGCTGGTCACGGTGGCTCACACCTGTAATCCCAGCACTTTGAGAGGCCAAGGCAGGCAGATCATAAGATCAGAAGATTGAGACCATCCTGGCCAACACAGTGAAACCCCATCTCTATTTGAATACAAAACATTAGTTGGTTTGGTGGTGCGTGCCTGTAGTCCCAGCTACTTGGGAGGCTGAGGCAGAGGCATTGCTTGAACCCAGGAGGTGGAGGTTGCAGTGAGCCAAGATCACACCACTGCACTCCAGCCTGGCAACAGAGCAAGACTCTGTCTCAAAAAAAAAAGAAAAAAGATATAAGTTAAGGTGACACCATACTAGAGTTCGGTGGCCCCTTCGTCCAATATGACTGGTGTCTTTTTGAGGAGAGGGGAGCTGGTGGCACAAGGGAGAGACTGCCACGTGAGACACGGCCACTGGCCCTGTGAGGGTGGAGGCAGAGTTCGGAGCTGCCCGTGGAGCAGCCGAGAAGAGCTGAAGGTGGCCCGAAACCAGCGGCAGTGGGAAAGCTGAGCCCTGCGCACACTGCGGCCTCTGGCATGATGAGAG